GCGGATGCACCTGCATTGCCATTCCGCAGTTGCAGCCGCTGTAGTGGCGTGTGCATCCTACGACTTATTTTCACCAAATTAGGACTGAATGAACTTAATCATGTGACCCCTGCAACACGTTTCCGTTTTCGGGGACGTGGGGCGATTTGTTCTGATTAGCGTTTATTAGAGTTTATTCCGGTGCGTTCATGTTGGTACAAGGGGCCGTACCCATGGTTCATGAAATGCATCAATCGTAGGGGACTGTAGGCGTGTATCAGACAGAACATGTATCGTCCAAAGGGGGTTGCATTGGCGGTGCAGAGCAGACTTGTTCATGCCGCAGGGGAAGGAGAAGGAACAGGCAGATAGACGGCGGGAAATCGCCCAAAGACTCGAGAAGGAGAAACAGGCAGCGAGAAAGGCAGGAAAGGGATTGGATATTAGTGCTTTTCGCGGTACCGCCGGAATACCGCAGCTTTCGCGGGGGCCTCCCGCCGTATCTGCTTCACAAGGGCCCCCTCCTAGTGAACCTTATTGGGGATCTTCGAGTCCCAGTGGCGGCACTTATGATGCACGCCACCAGCCGTCCCCATCAGTCACTCCAGGGGGCACGAGAGGCAGCCAACAGCCAAAAGGCATGCAGCTTGGGTTTAAGATGCCAGCGGGGGGTGTCGATAGCTCGTTGCAGAACCTCGTGCCGGATGAGCAGGTTAAACCCACCGGTGAATACGCCGAAGCTCAGCATGACCAAGGTAGGATGTCAGTAGTCATGTAGCTGCATCAACACCTTTCGCTGAACCTTGGGCCCATCTAGGTGCTTGCGTTATCAGAACATATCTACACGTGTCTGCAATTAGTACTTAACTCTATCAATCCGTTTATATCTATGCTCGCGTTTCCAGCTCAAACCATAGGCTCTTCTAGGAATGCCTGGTTGTTCCTTAGTTGCTATAATACATTGCGAATTGGGTGTTTGCATACAGTTTTAAACAACCCGCTTGCGGACCCCGTAAGCATTCTCATTGAGGAAAAGGTTAAGGCATCTTTGCAAGCAGAAGGAGGTGAGTGCAGTTTTAAGCCCTGGTCCCCGATGTTTCCTTACCTGCATGCTTCTGTGTTAATTCAACTTAATGTGGTTATCTTCTGTCTCTGCAGTCCTGAAGGAGGTGGAGCTTCAAGGTACCTTCTTCGTTACTGCGAATGATCCACAGCGAGGGTCTCTCGCAGCATTCCAGGTAGGAGAACGTCTTGTTGTCTCGCGCGTATTCGAAGTTTAGGCCAAGTTGCACGAACGAATAGTAGGTTGAGCATCCACCACACGTGGTGCGTAGCGAATAAAGTGACGACGTATGTTGCGGCATTTTGCCTCAGCTAACCCCGGAGGACAAGAGATTTAAGATGAAGAGTCACCCAAATGTTGACAAGATGGCTCTTTC